CAGATCCAGCACATTCGCAAGCTTCACACCATACTGATGCATAAGACAGTCGGAGTCCTGACGACAATCAAACATCAACTTCTGTCGAGCGGTGTCCTCTAGGATACCCCGGAGACCTTCATCGAAAATGCCCTTCCCCAGTACCACAATATCGAAGAGGTAGATCTGATCTGCAGTTGCTATGGAAATAACTGACAGTTTCCCCCTTCGACTGAGTGCCTCTCCTTCGCAGTCGACCCCTATTATAGGGCTTCTGCCGATGTCATCCAGGGCTGGTTTTATCTGCGATTCCTTGTCAATCAGTCGGTAATGACAAGAGGCAGGCCCCATACCTCTGTGATTATGAAAATCAATTTCACATAATTTTGTATTCACAAAAAAATATGGCAACAAAAAGGTAACGCAAGTTTTTATATGAACTTGTCTCCAACTGCAACTACAACTAAGAAACAGATCTCCAGAGTTAAGCAAAAGAAGTTCTCATTTTGACAACGTAAAACAGAAAGCGGCAAGCTAACAAAGGGCCTGAAGTTTTCTTGCGCAATTCTTTTATAGCCAGTCTTCGTTGTACAAAATGAACACTCACAATACCTCACCCACAAAGAGTGCACGGGCATTCCTTTACATTTGTTTCGTGATTGTTTATTGTTTCCTTGATTGGTCATCTTCCTTTTGCTATACTTGCCCATAAATATTTGCCCCTGAAACTGTTGTCCTGTCCAGAAAGAGGATGACCTTGCGTGAGCTTGGCCTAGTCCACACAAGGTCCGCACAACCTGCATTGTGTGGACCTCTTTTGTTCATAAGTCCACACTTTAGATCCACTCTCCCTCCCTTACCCCACACACAAACTCTCTGGCTCTATTTCATTCAGGTCCCATTGTTTTCCTTTCTTTGTTTCCATGAGCATAACTTTTACATGTCCAGTGAGGTCTGTACATTTTCTGAGACGAAAGTTACCGAAGCCTTTGTGGCAATGTTTGTTCAATTGGCCGTATATAAGTAACCGTCCATACATAGTCCTCGGTGAAAAAAAGATAATGTGCATATACACAAAGGATAGTTCTCACCCTGGATCTCCTCTCTCTTGTGGGGGTCCTGCAGTGGCCATGGTACTTTGCTGTCGTATCTTTTGTATTAGAAATAAAGTAGAAAAATGAGAGAAAAGTTTTATAATGTTTACTTTAGGTGCATGGTGCAGCAAAACCCCAATTGATCACTGCCCGTTCGGACGTAATAATGCCAGTACTTCGTTAAGGACGAGGAGGATAAAGAAGTAAGGTCCAGCGAATGAAGTACACGATTGAAATTAAGTGCATCGCAATCATGAAATCGCAAGGAAGCTTGCAAATCCATAACTCGTGGTCCAGGGTCACATGTAAACCTAAACGTACTGCAATGTGATTCCTTATAAAAGCGCCGTGAAACTAAATTGCCGCTGACATGTAAAGCAAACAGGTCAAACAAAAATTCTAGCGAAATGAAAATGACTGTACCACTTGTTAAGTTTAGCTCGCAAAAAAAGGAAACTTCGTCATTTCATTACCTTAGCAACCGCTTTTCTTGATGAATTTGGCCACTCACTTAAACTTATCCTTGCACAGTTTTGTGGTTATTTGCAAACTTTGGACTTACTGTAAACGGAAGAGTGAGTTTAATTTAGTCTGATTTGAATTTCGCAAGGTTCTACAGAATAAAATGAGCGGGTTGCTAAGGCTTTTATACGCGGTGTACAAGAGCTTGGTCAAGTACCCGCCTCACAAGTTTCCATCCATTAATACCGCGCCCAGAGTGCATGGGAGTGAGACACATACTCAGCCGGGAATGCCGGGATACACCGGCCTTCGTGGAAATGAATTATACCGTGCAGTCCCTGCAAACCTTAGTCACACTACTAAACAATGTCGCCATCACGCCACTCCATAGACGAATTGTTTGTTTTCTAACGTAATATATAGACGACTGTATTCTTATGGCATTTGGAATTGTCAATGATACCGGGCCACTTTTTTTAGATTTACCGTAAACAATAATTATTAAAGCTTTCTGAATGACGACTTTCATTTGGCATGCCGTTATCCAAATTTCTTTATCCAAGTTTGACTCGACCATGCAAACGTACCGTAGTTCAATTTATTTAAAGGCCAGATACACACCAAAGAACATCATTATACTCTTACCTTAAAAATTAGAAAGCCCAATATTAAGACCAAGTAGACAGAATTAATATGGCGCTGCTGATTGCGTGCTCGTGTTAACGCCAAGGGAAAAACCCAGCTATTTCAATTACTGATGTCAATCGCTAGGTGGTCTCCATTCAAGTCGCAAATGATTGGAGGAAGAAATCAGCACGAAAAATTCAACTTCGACAAATGCTGGGTGTTCTTTTCAAGTTGAATATGAAGTCAAGCCTAAGTCAGCTCCGCCTGGCCGGGGTGCTCCTCTCAGAGTCTGTTCAGTCAAATACGTGTCAGTTATTTGTGAGTGGTGCTCTAGGTCTAGTTACTTTTGCCTCCGGATCCGAACGCCGTTGCTGCAGTTTCGAGATGATTATGTCTTTAACGTGCATGTTAAGGTTGATTTCTGAGCAGAATTTTGAAACATAAGTGTCCAATTGATTCGCCAGATTTCTGTGGTTGAGTTGAATGTGGATCTGACGTTAATTTACCCGTTCATATTTATCCATATAAAGTAGGTATTGTTACAGGCGTACACGCCAAGCCACATGTCCTCTTTGCTCGTCCATTAAAAAAAGACCTCATTGCAACAATTTCTGAGGTTTGACAGAATTGCGCCATTTTAAAACTTGGGGAATTATACAGTTAATAAAATGCATTGTGCGGAGATCTTGTCAGTGGATACAACCTGAACGTGGAAAAAATATTTTCAATCTCACAGCGCCTATTTTTTGCTTTATTGCAGCAATAGTTTCATCTAATCAAAGTACATGTATTACATGTAACAGTAAGTCTTTTTGTAGATGGAGTTGATTGTCCCTTTGCGGTTCTGTGGCGCTAACCTAGTCACTGTCATGCGCATTGCCTTGGAAATGACACACCCCCATGATAGACCAATCGCCACTTGTCAATCTTGTCTTTAACAATTTTATGTTGTACATAAACAAACAAAAGTTGTAAGCCTTCACACATTTATTAAAACTTACTCAATTTTGCAAGGAACGTTTTCATTGACGGACTCGATTTTTTTCTCCCTATTTCTAAATGTAGACTCTCAAATGGTATCTAAAGGAAAAAATCTGTCTTGTCCATCTGTCGGACGTTCAGCATATTAGTAAGCGGTACATAAACCAGTCGTCGGGTCTACACGCATTACATCATCTTTATTTTGATGTCACGAGGCCAGAAGCTGGTTCCCCAAGTAGCTCTGCTTGCTTCCTACTTGCACGCATTAAATCACAAAACGCGAAACAAGTACCAACAAAACTTGTAATTTTCCTAAGCTTGACGTGACGTGAGCGAAGCCACATCTGATGGGGTTGCGTGAAGAGAAACTCCTAAAAAGCACGATTTTGCAGGTGTGATGACTGAAAGGAACGAACGATGATGTGCAGGCTTTTTCAAGGCATACCCAGAGGTAATTCAGTCGCGTACGAATCACCATAATATAATAGAAACGGTCGATCTTTCGATTGAGCCGCTTTGCGTGAATAGCTCAGGGGACATGACATGCATACATGAGGCGAGGAAAGTCTAACTGAGGTGCCGGCCGGCCGCAAGCTGCCGGCGCGGCCGCACCACAGGGGGAGGGGGTAGGAACGGCATGATTTGTGTTCCGTGTCATCCACATCATGGAAGAAGAAAAAAGCAAGAGCAACTCTCGCTCAAAACTACCAGAAATGGTTGAACAGTAGAAAGAAAAATTTGACATCGATTATTTGGGAAACAGTTCATTTCTTCCCAAACCATGAAAACTAACCTTTTTAACACAGTTCCATCATGGAATAAGGAAGCACGGACACCCCGTGTACAAACCCTAGGCTTTGCGACAGACTGGTCTGAAAAAGTATTTTCTAAGTAAACACTTTCAAACACACAATATTTTCCCTGCATAATTTGACATTTTAAGACATATCACTTTCTGATGACCGATATACCACTTTGGGGACAAATCAGTGATGCCCGTAGAACTCTTACATTTCAGTATTTTGGACTTCTTTGATCATGACCCTCTTGATGATTGCAGTTGTTATAATTTGTTTTAATTTCATTCAAATGAAACAAGAACAGCTGGAATTTCCCATATTAACTTGTTAAAAATAAACTGGTCAAATTTTTAAAAGTAAGTAGAATAACATTCCTGATGGATGATATCACAGATCACAGTCTCAACCACCTCAAATGTCAAACGTAAACCAGATCCCAATTTTTAGTTTATTTAGTTATGAAAAAAAAATCCTTTTTACAAAAATGTAGTTTCTCAATTTGTCAATTATGTTAGCATCATCTTTGGTGCGGTGCATTATTTTCATTCAAATGGGTTTTCTTGAGATGCTGTGAACGTTCATGCTCAAGTTGAGAATGGCCAAGCTCTATGTGTGCATTTCATATTTATTCTTAGGGACCATCTCACAGCATTATTGGAGTGACTTTGCATTCTGTCTTGTTTTCTCACTTAATTCCAACAGCTTTGCGTCACAAGGCTCAAGCCAACACTACCCATCCGGCCTGGACTGGGAACAGCAGCCAGAAGAGAAGGCATAAGGAGGAGACCACCAGCAATGGGCTGAATGCAGCCCCCCTGAGCAGTGATGCATTACACCCATCAGACAAAAGGTACCATGAGCTCACTCTGTGAAAAAAACATCTAATAGCCCCACCCTCCCAGTGAGGTTCCTCAAGGCAGACTACGAAATGCGACTGAATCCAATACAGCCCATATGAGGAACTTGCTGGATTCATAGTGCAACACCAGGCAGTTGTGGATTTGCTACTTTGAGAAATGTGCTGGTGACACACTACTGGAAACAATTCAGAAACTAAACAGTGTTCTTAACTTGCAATCGGAAAAATACTTTGCAGAGTAAATGAGACTCTGTAGTGGCCAGTGCAGAGCTCAAATGATTGGATTCTAAACACTTTTTTAATGTTAAATGAGCACGTATATTTTCTTGAAATGAGTTGGTTTTTGTAGCAGATGAGTTGATGCCAAACAAGGCAAAAAATGAATTTATTTCTATCACTGTTATTGTCATGTAACTGAAACGTAGGTCAACCCAACCACTGCCAAGTGGCACAGACTTCAACAGCCTGGTGCGACACATGCACTTGAAGTTGGAAGATGGGTGGCGAAGTTTCGCAGGCAGCAGACAGTGGGACTCCTTCAAGGAAAAAGGGAATAGCTACACGTCACACGATGCCGTGGAATGGGTAAGGCATCATTTCTATCATTTGATCTGAATCTGAGCATCTCAATTGGCTGAATTAGAAAGCCTCACAGAATTTGATAAAAAGGGGTGTTCGTTGTCCTTAAGCCTGACCAAACCAGATGCATTTGCCTGTTAACTCTAGTACACCAAGGCCATGTTCTAAGCAGTGAATGCTAATCCCGCTGAACAACCTACTCTGAGGCAGCTTTTCCTTGAGACATTTGACCAAGTGGATCTTTCCATGCTGGGCAGTCTCAAAATTAAGTTAAATGTCGTTTCATACATGTTACTGCGTTTGACAGAGTTTTCTAACCAAAATACCTAATACCGTGAGAGTAAGGCCTTTCAAAGGCACAACTTGAGGCTTTTTCATGTCGACCCTCCATGCAGGGTACAGCCCTTGTGTTCAGCCTGCATCTCTGTCGGGTGTTGGCAGCGTCGACCCTTCCCGATGACAGCAGTGGAGGAAAGAAGAAGATCCTTGCATCTGTGGCAGACAGATTGCCGGGGCTGTGGAGCAAGCCAGTCAGCCTACTGAGCCTCCTCCATCAAGAGGAAGGCAAGAGGACAGAGCCTAAGCCCCAGGAAACTAAGCCTGAGGTGAGATTCAAACAATGGCTTTGTGACCTTGAAAGAGAACACAAGCACGGTTAATGACCGACAAAACTATTACAACAGAGCAGTCTGATAGTATTGAGCAAACTCCATATTTAAGTCCTTCAATTACTCCCCCTAAAACTCAAACGTCATTCTGGTACCTGTAAACCGCAAATGTCTATTAACCATAACGACAGAAAGAGTGACTAATTTTGATCATAAGATAAAGGAATTTCTGTCACTTTTATAAAAGTGGTTTATGCATAAGCCGGGATCTGGCCATTACTTCAACAGTCACACAGTGATCGCATTTAGCAATTTCTCAGCAGTGTTGCAAAATGACAGTCATCAGTTGTTTTAACATTTGCTTTGTTTAAATTTCGGGCCAAGATTCCAGATCCAATTCCAGCGACACCCTTAGCTGCTGCCGTGGCTGGGCTCCAAGCAGTGACCAACCAGAGCTTGGGCCAGGCACACAACAGCCTGGGGGTGAAGAAGGCCCAGAAGGGTCAGCTGGAGGAGGCGGTCGGCCACTTCTCCGAGGGGAGCAAAGTCGGGTTCAGCAAGGCCACGTTCAACCTGGCAGTTTGCCACGAGCAAGGCCGGGGAGTGACCCAAGATCTTGAAAAGGTAGAACTTTCTCCTGATTCAATTACAGGTTATTGAAGGTGAACATGATGCTTCAGTCCAAAGTCACTCTAGTTCCTCTGTCATGCTATATCCTGATATGTTTTACACAAAATCTTTTTGAGTAAATTGTGGTTTACTTTGAACTCGTTAAAGTAAGCTAAGAAAGATGATTTCTCCTCACTGTATTATAACACAAATTGTTTCCCTCAGGGTGGTGTTTCTTATCCTCCGATTCTAATGAGCATGTGAATTACACAAATATTCAACATTCTCCTGGGTCAAAGTCAGCATAGAAGTTCACAAAAACTTTCTGGGTGTGGCAGTCTTCTCAAGGATGATCACCTCTACTTAAAAGCAATTTGTTACACTTTGCAGGCGGCTGATCTGTACAAGGTGGCCGCGGCTCAAGGTCATCCACAGGCCAGTTACAACCTTGGGGTGTTTCACCTGATGGGCAAGGGAGGTCTGCAACAAGACATGGCTCGTGCTCTGGAGTTGATGGGCACAGCAGCTGTGGCAGGCGTCACACAGGTGAATTTCAAAGGCACATCCTAATCCAAGGGGATAGATTGGCTATGAATGGTATAAAAGCACAAACCTGTATCCAAAAAATGGTGGTCCCTTGCTTTTCTGTGGAAGAACTGTTCAACAAGGTCTGCTTCACGTCCAATAAGTGGAGTTTTAGGCACAACATGCATGTACATGTACCTTTGAGTTTCAAAAGAAATCAGTCAGTTGACATCGAAACGTTGTAGACTTTGGTTTATTGTGCCAATGTAGTGAAAACCCTTCACTACCAAGCACAGGCAATTTTGACCAGGATCATTGCTTTTGTTGCAGGCAAACAGATACTTGGGCATTCACTTCCTTGAAGATAAAGAACAGAGAGATGAGGGAAAAGCAGCGACGTTTCTGCAGAAAGCTGCTGAAAAACAAGTAAGCTGAGACTTTATTTTGGTTGGGGGGGGTCAATTTTGTTTGCGACGTGTACATATACACGTATTTACCATTTTGCCGGACTTTCCCATTTCTTAAGCACAAAACCATGGCACGACAAGTAATTTTTGCAAAGCAGATGTTGATGCCCTTGATAGTGTGCAGCTCTCATGTGTTTGTGTACAGAGCTCACCTCATTCAGGTGTTGTATAAAACAGATCTCTCAAGCATATTTTCACACCTTTTATTTACAGGATGTGGAGGCAGAGTACTATCTTGGGCTGTGCTATGAACATGGCTGGGGTGTGCCCTCAAACGGTGCCAAGGCAGTTTCACTTTACCACAAAGCAGCTATGAAAGACCACCCTGAGGCCCTCTGTAGCCTGGCAAGGTGCCATGAGCTTGGTCTTGGAGGCGAGTTGAAAGCTCAGTTATTCATTTTTGACTGATATAGTGTTGCTGGTTTAACCACAACTCTCAAGATACTCTCGCTCATCTTATTTGCAAATGTTTTTTACAGGTTTGCCAATCAACAAAAAGTCAGCTTTACAGTTCTACAAACAAGCAAGTGAAGTGGGTCATGAACAAGCCTCAGAGTCCTTGGAACAACTGCTATCCAATCCCACCGCTGACACCTCCAAAGTGCCACAGGTCAGCACTCGAGCAGCACATAACACAGGTGTGATACCAACAAGAGAGAGTAACAGCTCAAACATTTCACAGTCAAGGATACATGGACTTCAGGAGGTTAACAAGTCATTGCACGTGTCCGTCTCGGCTCCAAGTCTCTCAAACAGTGAGGGGAAAACACTTCAGAGCGAGCCTGGAAAGGGCAGTGCCCAACACAAGTTTTCATACAAGAGTGGGAAGGCTTCCGTATCACAGCTGAGCCTTCTGCTGCCGTACTACTTCAGTCTGCCCTCCAGACCACCAATTGCCAGTCTTGGAATGACCAATGGAGCTCAAAGTTCAAAGGTCAGCTTTCAGGTTGGAGATGAAGAAAGTTCCGATGAAGAGGACAGAGCCGACAGTTCAGCGCATGGATTTGAGAGCAGATTCTTCACCTCTAATCCATGCCTCATGGTGACATGAACTGTCACTCGGACGCACTTGATGCTTAAAACGCACAGTGCACTAAAATGGGCTTGCTGTACATGTATGCAATCAACACTTAAGGTAGTGGAATTTTTAACTTTTAAGTTAAGGTGGTGGGTGTGAGATTGCAGAAATTTTGTGTGGCAGATGAGATCATACTGGTCTTTATACAGAGTACTAAGAGTAGTTATACTTTTTGCAAGTGCATCACATATTGTGATTCATTTGTCTAAGCACATGCACATTAACAGCTCTTTGTGTAGTTGGTTATAGGTGTGATAAAAGGCGGTCAACGGTCACATGCTCATTTAACTTTAACTATGCATGTCGAACAACTCTCAAATCTGTACTACACACCAGCTAATGGAAAATACCTGGGGTATGTCTATATTCCACAGTACTTTCTCTACATGTTACCTCATTATACATGTACTTGTGTCCCTCGAATTAGTGCACCTCTTAGGGCCATAAAAATGGTCCGAAGGATTTATTTTTAAGAAATATTGTATTCTGTACAAAACGAACAAGAGGAAATTGCTTTTTATTCAAGTTTTATTCCAGAGAAGGTTTTCTGAGGAAACAACCCTTTTGCAACCTGGATTCTTAAGAGTAAAGTATTGTTCCTTGAATTCACCAATACATGTTACTCATGTGGTTTAACTCAAGATAGCATTTGCATATACATGTTCAACATCTAACTGAACTGGCACCTTTTATATCATACACATACAATTTTTGTAAGGGGGTTTCTTTTATAAAAAATAATAAAAGTCTTGTTGCAGTTGCAATGTGAATGGCTGTTTTTGTTCAATTCCTTTACTGTGTTGCCATTTGAGTAAATCCTACGTTACTGCCAAAGTTTCGTCATCATGACAAGTTGAAATCAGCATGAGAGACTGTAGCACCTGGTATTTTACGTCACACTCAAGTCATCTTTCCGTCTGTCCTCCAAATGTGACTCCAGGATCTTGCCAAACTCTTCCCGCCGGAGCAGTGTGTAAGCCAAGGGCAGGACATTCCTAATGGTCCCGTGCAGGACGGGCGAGCCGTACATGAAGAGGTCAATGCCCAGCTCATAGCCTTCCCCGTAATCGCACTCGTCGTTGGCAAACTGAACAAAGTTGATGATCTCATCCAGGGGTTCAAAGTTCTTGTTGCGTTCGTCCTCATTTTTGCTGTCGGCAATTTTCTTGAAGATCCGTTTCAGGTTGGCTGTAAAGTGTAAAAGTTTAAAAGTAATGTTAACCACTCAATATGAATTGTCGCCAAGTTGCTGGTAAAGAAATACAGATCCTAGGTGAAATTGCAAATCCGTCAAGACCCAGAACTTACCATCAGTTTCTGGAAGCTCCCGGTATCCAACTTCATTGGCATCAATGGGTACAACAATGCCTGTGCCATGGAATGTCTTGGCAACCACCTTTTTCTCCCTATCCTTCATGGCTTGAGACTTGCTGTCCAGCGAGTGGCCGCACTTCTTAGCCCAGTCGGTCAGCGGCTTCTGCAGGGACTGAATTTTACTCTGTTCCGCCTTGTCTTTTGTGGCTTTGCAAAGCTTGTCCATGTGTAATCTGTATGAATTTAAGGAAACAAAACTCTTTTCTTTGAAGCCTCCTTGAAACATAATGATGACCACATCTATTAAGATTTCCGAGATGAGTAAACTATTGCTCTTTAATGTAAGCACATGGAGTTCTAGATTTTAGATTAAACAAAAAATCATTAAATTTAGTGGCTTAAATTGTTGAAATAACCAAGCCATCAGAGCTACTTTAACTTTACACCCAATGTATTTAGAAATATAATGATGTAGCCAATTTTACCATACTCACTTGACAGCAGCAAAGATATTGCCCCCCTGAGCTGATATGGAGCAACTTTTCTTGGCCGAGTTAGCCGCAACAAACACTGGCAATTCCTTGGGCTCATCCCTGAAACAAAACAAAACTGGCGTCAGGTGGAAAATGGCCACACACATAGAGGAATCTGCTCAATAAAAAATGCCCATTGCATACCTGAAATAGCCAAGATGATGCTGTGTCTCGTCGTCTCCACGCACGATTGTCTGAAACTCAGGTGGATCATAGTAGTACCTCCAGTGAAGGCAATAGGAGGATCTCTTAGACTGAGGGGTTTTCTTCAGATTTCCAGCCAGCACATCATAGGGGCCCACTAGCTGCAGTCCGAGAGTATCCTTGAGTGCATCTAACAGTTACAAACATGATTAAAAGCAAAAGAATTACAGGCTCCAGGTCAAGTGCATTTTTTCAAATTCAAATGATGAGAACCTTCACCTTACCAATAGCCATCAATTCCTAAAGGTGTTTATTGGATCTATGCCTACCTTTGGGGTTTTTCTTGTTGAGACTCTGACAAAATTCCCAGAAGTCATAGAAATCTTCAGGCATTTCCATCTTGAATTTCCACTTGATCTCTTCTCTTGGGTCAAGATCAGAAGGTGTGGCTGGTTGGGCATAATCTGTGCATTCTTGGCTGCTCTCTAATGCCACAACACAGGCAAAGAAAGTTACGGCTAGCATGTTATATATATTTGAACAAGTCACTAGATATTTGACGATATAATATAAAATAGCTGTGTACATGTACTACACATATAACAATCAACATTAATCAACCAACACTGGCCATAAACACTATGTCAAAATTGTGACTTGTAGGGAATATTTTTTATATGTTCAATAAATATACTTTTTATCCACTAGTTGCATCCTATTCTGCATAAAGCTTACATGTTAATGACAGAGTAAGCCTTTACACAGTGACAATTTTTATCCCAAGTGGGGCATGTCTGCATAAAATATCATCACCTTTTTCAATGTCCTCTTCATTACATTCTGTTTTTTCTTCTACTTTTTCTTCTACACTGGTCTTTGTGTCTGAGTCTCCAGACATGCCAGGTAGCTGTGGCTCATCAGCACCATCTGCTTTTCTCTTCTTAGCAACACCAATATTTCCATCATCTGCATCCTGAATGAATCGTACAAACAACAAAACTGAGCTCATCAAGAAGAACGTAAAACTCCTACACTACCCTAACATGCCTAATTTGACTTTTTCTTTCAATTAATCCCAATCATTAAGCTTGTTTGAGACGGAAGAATCACACCATGACAAGAACAATACGGACAACATTTGAGGCCTGTGCACAAACCAATGGGACTTGTCTGAAAAAAAAACAAGTGTTTTCTAAGTAAATGCTTTGAACTTTTCTTAGCTAAATTTCACCTTTTAGGACATGTCACTTTCTGATGGCTGTTATAACATGGTAAGGGAAAATTAGCATTGTCCGTATAGGGCCTAGGCCCATGCATGGAGAAATTCCTCCATGGTACAATGGAACTCCTCTGTTTGAAACACCTTTATTGTAATTCACATCTGTTAGTAGAAGTTGATAGAAAGGTTTATCAATAAACATTTAATGACACCACGACAAAAACAACTGAAAACATTCACTATACACAAGGTGACAAATGACAAAAACATCAGACCAACGGGAGAGAAACAAAAAGAGGGTAGGCCTAAGATGCATCATAGGTTGGGACCTCGGACTCAGGCGAAAAAACATGGGGGCAATCATGAAGAGGCCTGGCAAGGTAAAAATCAATCATAGAAATGTTAAAATACTAGTGAAAACAGACACAGTTTAAGAACATTAGTTGTATCCATATTCGTGATAATGAGCTCGCATCAATTTTAATTATTAAATTTCTGACTTGTTCATCATCAGTGATCATTCATCATTCACGTTCATAAGTTGAAATCATTGAAAATACAACATAGGCCCCATCTGCTACAACACTTTAGTTACTGTTGCACAAATAGTTCAGTAGGTAGGTTATAAGCCTAATTAACGAATTTAACAATAACTTTGGTCCAATTAACGTCACGGTAAATAACTTCAAGTTCATTTGGTTCACCAGCGTGACTGGCAGAATGCCCAGCCCAGTTTGGTATTCCACAGGCACTAGGTCTCGATGTAGGTAAAATGCAGTTAGGCCTACCCAGTACCTGATTCTCGCCTTTCCTTTTCCCCTTCTTTGGGTGCCAGAACCCAGCTAAGTGCTGTGGATTGGTACGGTAGCAGTCAGCTCCGTACTTACAGGCTGGCTTTCCAGAATCATTTTTGCCCATATTTTGAGGAAGGAGTTTGAGTGCACGGCGCTTTATTCCCGCGGAGATCCAAATGTTACAACCTCGTACAACCTCAAGCACACGTTTACTCATCTTTGCTCTGGGGTCAAAGCTGCATAATTTATCAACTTTGACCTTTATCCATCCACTGCACCGTACCAGTGCAGTGCAGCCGTATCGTACCGGCGCAGAAGTTTGTGGAGCGTGCGTTTCATCACCCCGTAAAATATGATTTTATTTGCCCTAATCGTCCTCGTCTGCTTTGATCTTTGATCAGAAACGAAGCATTCACGATATGGCATCCTTCGGATGTTTTAAAAGTCTATCATGCAGCAGAAGGTTTGCAGTAAATGTGCGAAAAGCCGTAAGAGACGTGGGCCTATTAAATTTTCGGAAAGTACCGCGGATTCCAGCGTCTGTAGCATGCGTTGATGACGAGCAACTGGGGCGTTCGTTGTTTTCGCTCCCGGCCTCAGAACGCAGCTTCATCGCGTCGTCCACTCTGGTTTCCGGAGCAGATCAGCCTTTGTTAAACTTAACGACTACTTTGAGTGGGTAAGTATAGAGAAATATTCATGGGCCTGACCCATTTTGTCGCTTACATTTTGTATTACATGTTTTAAACCTCCTTTGTTAGTACTGTACTACTAAGTTAGGCCACATGTGGAAATTATGGAATCACCTGGTCATGCTGACTATTGAACTTCTTCTTTTTTATTCGTTTTTTGGAGGGAATGATTTAAGTCGCTAGATAATAGGTTAGGCTAAATACATTGTTGAGATACTAACTCACTTAACAATCTTAGAATCAGTGGTTAACAGCTGATTAGTAACTAAAAATTGACAGTGTTTTACATGCCTTTTACATGTATTTTATTAGATTACTTTACCATGTTTACATTGGTTTGATAATGCAGGCGTGCCATGTGTATTGATCGGTGTCTCCACACAAGCTCGTACTTGGCAGTCAAAGCATGGGAGCGACGTAATAAGAAAGTCTATCCTCCACAGAAGCCTGGAGAGCCCCCACGGAAGGCAGTGAGTTATTTCAGTTATTCATCAGGCAGTCATCATACGTCCTTTTGTTTGAATTCTGAACAGACGCACAAAACTAGAAACCAAAAAATCCATTATGTGCATTAATTAAGATTATGTATGTCAATTATTTATAGGAGGTGTATTACTCCAGAAGACAGATCAAGCACAGCATGAGAAAAATGTGGTACATCGCGAAGTTTGTGAGTAAATTCTCATCAAGTGATTGGATTCATTCTGATAAGGTCATTGGATCTCGACTGAACAACGTGCATTTATCTCATCTCTCAAGTTCTTTGAAGATTTAAATTTGTCAGAGGCGCTTTGACTTCCTTACGTGCACAGGTCAAGGGCATGATGATTGACGATGCGCTGACTCAGCTACAGTTTATCGACAAGAAAAGTGCCAAGATTGCCCGAGAGGTAGGATTGACCATTTTCAAGTAGTGATGCTATCTGCATTATATTTATTCTTTTGGTGTACTTCTTCCATCTCTGCAGTTGTATGTCCTCCTTCCTCAGAGAATATGGCGTTCTGTAACTCATGGCTGGAGGATGTTCAACTTTACTCTTGCTTGCTCTTTGGGATTGTTTCTGTACAGGTTCTTCTGGAGGCACAAGAAGAGGCCGTCAAAAATCACAATGTGGAATTCAAGTCCAATCTTCATATCGGTAAGAAGTGTATTTTGGTAGTGTTTTTGTTGTGAATTTTACTGCTAGAGAATGAACTGTAATCAAAATTTCATAGCAAAGCACCATTTCGGACTTTTGTGGTACTTGTCTGTTCGACACATTATACTGATATGGAAAAGCAGATTGATGGCCAATCTGCTCTGAGCAGGAACAAAACAGGGCGTGTTTTGAAATGAAATTGACAGTCCTTTGGAGCGCATTCACCACATAGGCACACAAGTTTATGTGCATTTGACACGGAGCATGCTGAGAACGTGCAACAAATTTAGCCTGGAATGTTTTCTTCGCGTGCACACCGAATGCATGTAAGAGCCAGGTTGGAGAACTAAGTACCATCTGTCTTTCTTTCATCGGTGAGGGTGCACTTCAGCTCACAGCAGATAGATACTGTGTTTGTTGCTGTTGTTTGAAGAGAAATTTCTGAACAATAGTGAGTAGAGTGCTGTAATTAATTGGGGGGGGCTTAAACTCCAACGCAATGGCCCCTCCACTCAAAAATTAGAGAAGGAAAAAAAATCTGGTGGTCTGTCTTGGTTAGTGTTTTAACTGTGACTTAACCCATTGAGTACTCCCCTTTCAAGAAAATGAGGGCTCCTGCATGACCCCCTGCAAAATTCACCTCAGTTATGCCACCGAGTGGTAATGGTAGCTCCTTGAAACAAGGCCTTGGTGTGGTATCAAGAGACCATTTGTTCATCCATTAGTTCATCTGTGTGTAAATCATTTTTTAAAATTTGTTTTTCACTCAGCTGATGCTTTTGTCGGCAAAGGCGAGTATGACCATGCCATGCGCATCCATGCAAAGGGACGATTCAGCATCCTGGACCTAGTGTACAGCCACTTCTTTGTCTGTCTCAGGGAAGGGCCGCCCCCCAAGGAGGTTGAGACAACCGGTTACGATCAGGCCCAACATTACATAGACTCACTCAGGAAAAGGACAATCACCCACTCTGTTTGAATTATCAGAAGGGGACAACCACTGTAGATGTGCGTGATGGATCTTCAAGAGTTGACGTATTGGGATAGACCAGATCAAAGCTCAACATCACTGAAGAGGGAAAACAGTGGATATGAGGGCTGAGATAGTTACTTGCTTCAGAAACGTCTGAAAAGATACATACATACATTCTCTCCAAGTGTGTGTCTTTCTGGTTCCAGAACTTAGAGCTAAGTATCATGTACTACGCTTTCAAGGCCTCCTCCCAAGATCTGATTTTTCCGTGAGAAAGTGCAGATTTTTCATTCAAGATTTTACTGGATGTCTTTTCAAGGCATAGTAGAGTGTCAAGAATAGAATGTGGATACATGTATATGACGTACGGTAGGGAATCGACTTTTAAATGGCCCAACTGTTTTAAAAATGCTCCACAAACGTCATTACAAGGAATGTGTATTTTATAAAACGTGGCACAGCAGCATTATTTGTCAAAGAAAATAAAAAAATAAAGGTAGGTTTGATATCAAAAATCAAAAACTCAGTAATCCGAGGTAATTTAAGGTTTCACTGCATTTTTCTTCAAGGTTTATTTTATTCTATTTCTGTACAACAACTGTTGTATGAAACCATTCCAAACTGTGATGCTCACTAAAAAATAGATTTTCAGTCTAGTTACTTAAAAGACTCGGTCATTTGTCTATTAAACGAAAAATTTTAGAGATTCAAATAAGTGCATGCAAACTGCCAATTTGTCTAAAAACTTAAGTCTAAATATTATGTTCAGGACGTGTTTGGATGTGACAGAGTTGCAGAATTTTGTTCCATGACAGATACTGTTAGAGCCACTGACTGAACACAAGTTTGTCAAAACCCCCTTTTTTCAGTGGTAAATGCATGTTTGAATGATCAATTTGGAAAGATTTCTCATCAGCAAAGCTTGTTCATTGCCGTTTTTTTCTTATTTTCTGCAGTAATTCCATTTCAGCAAATATTTCATTGAACTTTAGCCGGCAACTGTCCAACACTTTAACTGTAAAAACCAGGCTTTGTTCCCCAATGCCCTGACTTGCTCTAGAAACTGCACCCATCCCACGAAGTTACCCTTTCCCTTCTGGAAAACAATGCCTGTACGTAACAAGTCTACCCCAGTACACTATCTCCGTTGAGAAACAAGTTGCTAATATCTCTTCTACCCTCCTCACATCTCCTGGATGCAAGTTATTTTCCCTGCCCAAAGCCTGACGTGGTTCGTCTATGAAGCCCAGATGACCTCGTCCCCAGAGTTAGTCTAGCGTTGCGTGTGCCTTGCTCCACAGAATCCCAGAATTCTTCCACTGTTGGGCTTTGACAAATCAAGTCGAGTGTGGTGATGGCACATCAGCGGTGGGCAGCATTCGCTGTACAAGTCACACTGCACGGGTTAGCCAAATATAAAGTTGAGGTTCATTTGTTGTCAACAAATGTGTATATGGCACAAAAACCCATATGGTTTTGATATTCTCTGTTTGTTTTAAGAGTTAACGTGGTTTGCATATCCATCCACCTCTTAGGCTTACATGGCTTTTCTTCAACTTGCTTTGCGGGAAAGTTATTTATACCACAGTGCTTTTTTGATGGGATGTTTCACCCTAATTCTATTAAGCATAGGGCCTATTTGAATTATGCACACATTAAAGTAGATGTCTGACTATTCTGTTACTGATTAATAAGGAAACATGATTAGGTTAAGCTAGCGGTTGACCTAATCAAACACTGATTTATCTGAACAAGAAGACAGACACCCGACGGAGACAGGGTTCACTGCACTCGGTGCAGGCCTTACCGACTCTCCCACTGCACCACATTTGGGCATACTACCCAGCGCGTCTAGGAGGCTCCCTTCTGCGGCGCGTTGTTGGAAGGACTCCTGCACCTCCTGCAAGCCTTGGATCAGATCCCTTATCGCCCGGAAACGCAGCAGCGCCAGCTGGGCATAGTCAGTGCTGCTCGAAGTTGGCTGTGGCTCCGCTCGGGGAAGCCGAGCTGCGCCGACAGCAGCACCACCAACGGGTGGGGTGAGGATGTAGAGGAGGGTGCCTAGAATCACCACAATAGTCATCCCACTAGGAGACTTCATGGCATGAGCTATGCGTATGGATGTATTCCACTTCCAACTGGGCAAAGAAGGAGAAAAGCAGCCGGTTGGCTTATGAACTTGTTACGATCATGTTACGCCTGGCCTAGGCCCGGCCGCCACCATCTCGGGGAACTTGCACTTTTATATTTATGTTAACCGATGATCAGCAGGCCCTTGTTGTCGAATGTTGGAAAAGGCGTGGGTTGTCGACGTCTGACATGTGCGTCTTAGGTTGAGCATGGAGCTATAAAAAGCCTTAGCTCCAGGGTTGAGTTTAATAACCCCGGTGGACTCCCTGACCGCACTTCGTTACGGGTCAACCTATAAGGTTGAGTGAGCAGTCACAAATTATGGAGTGATTGTTTTTCAACCAAGGCCAAGAAAAAGACGTAGCCTAGGCCTATTGCCATCACTCACTGTGAGATATATACCCAAAAGCTTTTAGGGCAGCCCTATTGGAACAATGCATACTGTCCGAAATGTTGAGTAGCACCAGTTCTTTTCAGAAATCCACGATGCTCAAAAGAGATATAGCCTATCCATGGTGCTACCGCAAACCTATCTAATTCACCAGCCCTGTTATTATTGTCAAACTTACGTACAAATCCGTTTGGCCTCAAAAGATGACTGCGTTTATAAAATCTTCACACTGCTTGCAGTTTCGAACTTCGTGACATCTCTTTTTAAATTTGCGCGTGCGCGTACAGATGTCCAGGCAGCTAACACGGTCCGTGCGATACGCGCGTGATACGTGAATGTACGATATCGCACTTGAGTATACGTCAGTAAAATGTAGAGCTAGAGGCTGTGAAGCATCGGTGATGAATATAATATGGAAACTGTACTTTACACAAAAATTTTTTAACAAAGGAAATTCCCTACAAGCATACAAATGTAAGGGTTAATGCGGGTTTTTACGTTGAGTTGATTGGTGTTTGTTGGCGCGGAGCTGAATGTTCAAGTTAAGTCTATATATTAATTATTGATCTCCACAACAGAGATTATGGGCGTAAATCCCGGGGGTGGGGGTATGTAGCCCCACAAACTTTTTGTGGGGTATGGGCTATTCACCCCCCACACACACTTTTTATGGTGAGCAAAAAATCTAAAGTGGATGGTGAGAATTTTTCAGACTTTCAACGACTAATTATGCATTCATAGGCCTATCACTTAAAAAAGGGAGAAAAATTTTAAAAGCCATCATTCTGAATACACATTACAGATGTATATTAATATCATGCTTATCGACCTCTATGTAAAGTCATATTGTGTCACACCCCCCTTCAAATTTTCGTCTCACCCCTTCCACCTTTCCCATGCTTCCCCCCCCCCCCCATTTCCAGCACAGATTCACGTAAAAGCTGACAGAGATTAATGATTCGGTGAAGAAGCGAGTGTGTGTACCGTGTGCGAATTCTTTGATCGTGAAAAGGCCTTCAAGTCTTTGCGGTTTTGAAGGCAACTCCCTGGTTTTCTGTGATCTTATTATTGATTCTAAAAAAGTGTCCTTTTCGTTCGTTTAACTCATGAAACTCCGACGCGTACTCAGCGCCTCGCGCGAGACGGCGGACATCACACTCGATAATTGACTCGATGATCCCAAGAAGCGACGATATTTGAAAACATATCTTTCTTGACCGAAGATTTCAGGACAATCGCTACCCTAACATAAGCCAGAATGTCTCAGGCCTATGCGTTATTCAACAAGACAAAAATTTTTAAAGAGCAAGATCTCAACAAGTCGAATGGCACTTCCAGTATTCCGTATTATAGTACCGGGTAGATCACATGCTGAAACAGTCACGTGCATAAACTCACATGACAAGTATTGGACGTGGAAGAAAACTTTGAAATCGAACAACTCCATATGTACACTGTACACGTACATGTACAAGTAGGGCCTACGTTCGTACGCATGATCATTGTCTCAGAGGGTTATTTAGAAGTCTTAAGAACGACGTATTCTCTCACCCCATCTTATTCTTTGAAGCCCGTAGAACGTATCGCATCAGGTCATCTTCAGTTTTGACCATCCGGGCAAGATATTTTGCAGCGGAATGCGTTATCTGGACCGTGCGTCGCTAGTGGTTTGCGCCGTGCTTGCAGCGCTGTGCACGGCAGGCAACGGGCAATTCCCCCGCCATAGGCCGGTAGGCCTAGGACTTGGTCTCCGCGTTGGATCCACGGCTAGTGCAAATTGTCCAGACAACAAATGCCATATATATGAAACTTATTACATCGATCAAAAGGTGAGAGGGAACTGTCTTGATATGATTACTCATTCTCAACAGAACTGTCAGTCTGTGTCACCATTCTACCTCCATGGTGTGACTGATAGTTTCATCATGTTCAGTGACCAGGTGACCGATCATTTTTGGACCACCGTGTAGGGACTTTGCCCCCAACTCGGCTGCCCATGCCTCGTCTTTCTGAATTTTTGTACACAAGACACTTAATTTTAGTACAAATGTAAAGTTTTAACTCAATCGAATATATATGGTTTGTTGCGGTGATTTGAAGTTCATAGCCACGTGCGTGTTAGCTGGCTTGTCTTGAGAATGTCAGTGGAAAAACTTTAAATTGTTGACTGATCTGTCTTGGCAAAATTGTCTTTATGCATAGCTTTGTATATCCAATTTTTACCAAATTGATGTCAAAATGACCGCAAGATGTTACTGACATTGAAAAAAGTCCTAAAGGCACCGCACATGAGAAAAAGCATGAAACCAAAAGCACTACAATGGTTGAGGGGAATTATCAAGGTGGCACATTCCCTGTCCCTGGCTCTTTTTAGGGTTGAATAACCACAGGCTCTTCATGTCTTTGGATGTCTTGCATATAATGCATATTTCTGTATTCCATCAGCAAGTCATGCCATATTGATGTCATTTAGCTCTTAATCAGCAGATCAGTTGATACACAGTACACTTACGATGAGCAAATCAACTGTCACATTAAAATCAACATTCAGAACCTTATTTCTAACTTACCTTACTGTTTTGATTTGAATTTCTTTTATTTGAAGATTGACCATTACAGTTTTGTAAGTGATGACACATACAAAATGAGATACCTGATGGCCCAGCAGTATTGGGACAAAAACGGTGGGCCCATATTCTTCTACACCGGCAATGAGGGCGACATCACATGGTTTTGTGAAAATACAGTAAGCACTCAGAATATTTTTTTAAAGTCTGCAGTTGCTAGATGCAGGTGGAAAAAATTTCGCTGTTTCAGCCAGGCAATTTTCTGAATACATATAGGTGGGTGAAAGCCTACTCCCTTTGGGTTAATGCCCGTGCACTTAAATCAAAAAGGTCTACCCGTGTGGGAAAGTCCATCAAATTTTGGGACTCAAATGAGTTGTCACAAAATTGACGGGGTGTTTGCATAACAATTGTCTTTAAAACATCATAAAGCTTGCATTCATATCAAGAACAGCCAGATTTTTATTAAAGACCGTCACTTTAATAAAGGCTTGAAGAACATCGTTTCAACATACACACAGGAGCTGAAATCCAATGTCAATAAAGCACCAGCTTGTGTAAATGGCACTGTTATTTTCATTTTTCTAAATTTTTCTAATAAAAAAACTATGATTTTTTTGGGCAAGGGCTTCATGTGGGACATTGCTCCTGAATTCAAAGCAATGTTGGTGTTTGCCGAGCATCGTTACTATGGTGATTCTCTACCATATGGGAAAGACTCATTCAAGGTAAGGATAGATGTTATCTGTGCATTTGATTGGGAAACTAAACAAAATGTGAAAACTGCCTCATAACATCAAAATGGTGCAATTCTTGTTTGGCAGAGTTCACCCTGGCCTTGAAATGTATTTGGATTTTCACGACAAATTCCCATTTCTTGAATTTCAGCAAATGCCATGAATTTAATGGAAAGTGTTTTTAAAAAGTTGAGGTCAGGGTTTAAAATTTTGAAAATCAGGATGATTTCAGTGCCTAGCTCTGTGAATAGCCACTTCAAAATTTCTCAAATTTGAGAATTACAGCGGTTTAAAGTCTTCAACAAGAGCTTAAATATTTTTTACCCAGTGTGTGCTGACCCTGCTGAATTGATGCACGTTAATTCACAATAAAAACAAGTGTTGGACAGCACATGCTTGTCTAAAGTTGATTTTCACAATCATCATACACAACTCACAAGTGATACATCATGCATCAAGCTTCTGGTCTTATTTGATTGTCTGCGCTGATTTTTTTTTTGCCTGACAATTCACTTGTACTCCTGTAGGACAGAAAGCATGTAGGATACCTGACATCAGAGCAGGCACTGGCTGACTATGCCGTGCTCATCAAGCACATAAAGGCATCCATACCAGGGGCAGCCAATAGCCCCGTGGTAGCTTTTGGCGGTTCATATGGCGGTATGCTGGCAGCTTGGATGAGAATGAAGTACCCAGATGTTATTGTAGGGTAGGTCGAGATGCAGTGCAAATTCAGTCCATTACAAGCCAGTCGCATGTAAAAATGCCAGTCAGAGTACAGTTTTCAAGTTTCAAAGAGAGGATTCAGAGTGCTAGTGGCAAAAGCAATTTAATACATCATAACGTGACTGGAGACTGGGTGACCTTGGGTGTTAGGGTTGTAATAGAGCAGTTCCCTCCCCTGGTAAAAAGAAAATTGAGGAAAAAGAAGAAAGATGGGGGAAAGCGAAAAGGAAAGAAGGGCGTAAAAAGGGGAAAAAATAGAAAGAAAACGGATGAAAGGGGATGAAAATCACTAATTGGCTTGGCCTCAAAATTGACCCACCCTCCCACTGTGAATGGTTTATTGTCTTTTGTTGAGTGTTCCTCCCAAATTGTCCCCCAGGAAAAAAAATGTTTTTTCCTTAACATGTTTACCCTTTTAGCCAAATACTTGTCATTGAAAAGAACTTCATTCACCTTCATTTATCCAAGGAAGTGCACTGTTATAGTATTCCTGTGGGTGGAAGTGTCAATACAGCTTCTGGGCAATTTCTTCTCTCTACCAATTAAATATCTTTTTTTGCAGTGGGAAGAATTTTTAACAACAGTTTGACTTTGTTAACCACTATTAAAAAGTTTAACTTCAGTCACAGATTACTTTACTGTTTGTTGTAATTGAAAATTACAGTAGTTGAGTTGGATGACTGCTTTCTGGTATAATTAGTCAGGACAGTTTGTAAGTTTAAATTATCCGTATATTCGCTCTTTTTTCTTGTATTCTCCCTGAATATTGGACAGATCTGTTGCAGCCTCAGCTCCTATCTGGCAGCTCAACAATCTCACAAACTGCAACGCGGCTTCCTCTATCGTCACGAAAGACTTCACTGAAGTCAGCCCCACCTGCAGCAAGACCATCCGCACCAGCTGGGCGACCATCAATAAGTTTGGGGAAACTCGTAAGTTGATTTGACAAAATGTAATCTGCAGTCTAGCAAAAGATACAGGGACATGACATGTAGTTGGTGAAGATTACAATTTCCGAAGTTGAGCTCTGTTTTAGATATCCTTTTATAGGTGACAGGAGTACAAATATTTACTGATGGAGCAACTTTGGGATAACCTTTTTTATCGCATGTAATGGTTCCCGAGAAAGTGTTTTCCCAATCCATTCCTTTGTAACTTAGCTCACGGTTTCAGTGTAAATTTGAAATTGCCATTGCAGCTGAAGGCAGAGAACAGCTTAGGACATCCCTGAGGCTCTGCAGCCCCGTAGAGACCAAGTACGATGTGGCAGCCATCAAGGGTTGGCTGAGTGAAACCTGGTTCAACCTGGCCATGGTAGACTACCCCTACAATGCGTCTTTCTTGGAGCCTCTTCCGGCTTTCCCCATTGAGGTCTGTATGTCTCTTTTTTTTTACCACTGTATCTTCCCTGACCAATGTGTGGTATTTATTGTTTGATCTTAAAATGAAAAAGGTTTAACAGGCTGCCAGTAATGATTGCATGTTGTCCCATGGACACACATAACACAGTGCACATGCAGGACATGTCCCGCCTTTGCTCTTGTCAGTTGGTGTGACACAGCTCTGTCTTCACTTTTACCCCTGGAGAGAGAGAGCAAGTAGTGAGCACTTTTTCCCTTGGTGTGATCATGTGACAGATTTCCAATTAATTTAGGATTTTTGCCCTGCCCAACATGTATTTATACTCAGTGTATGCCCCGAGGGCTTGTGAAAAAATCACAAGCGCACTCGGGTGGGACTCGAACCCACGACCTCCTGCTTACTAGTGCAGACATCTTAACCACTCGACCACCGAGCTTGCTGGCGTTGACTGGCTTGTTCAAATCAGATGAAGCAGTGGGTACCGCGAACAACTATTTCAAGGCGATCCAGTGGTTAAGACATCTGCACCAGTAAGCAGGAGGTTGTGGGTTCAAGTCCCAACCGGGTACGCTTGTGTTTATTTTTTCACAAGCCCTCGGGGCATACACAGAGTAAACAGTGTTAAATACATGTCAGGCAGGGCAAAAATCCAAAATTAATGTACATCTCCCCAGTGCAAATCCATTCTTGAAATAGATTTCCAATTGAATACGCACAACCTGTATCATCTCCACATAAGTGCGATGCGCCTAGTGTGTACTGTATGTTTGATAGCAAAGGTGCCTGAATATCCTTAGTTATTAATGGGCACAATTTTCTCCTTCAACCGCACAGGTTGTCTGCTCACACATCAAGACGAACAATGCCAGTGGCGTCCCACTGCTAATGGAACTGGGTGCAGCAGTCAATGTCTACTACAACCACACTGGCTCCACCAAGTGTTTCAACACCTCACAGACGGCTACTGGATCTCTTGGAGATCTGGGCTGGGGATTTCAGGTAACATGTATTTTGTTAACCACTTGCCGGCGAATCTCAGACTTGGTGTGTGTATGTGTGTACGCTAACCATATATACCTAGTGTGGACTTGTAAACAAAGGATGTCCACACGAAGCAGGAAAGGAAGACGTTTTGTGGACTTACACATGTCCACAGGACGTTTCCCCTTCTCTGGAAAAGAGGTTTAGAGGCATTATGGGGTAAGGGGTCATCTGTTGTAAAAGGAAGAGGAATAGTCAAGGAAACAAAAAGCCAGCTAAAAGTTGTGTTCCAAGTTCAAGAAAAATGAGTATTTTCACTGAGTTTTTGTAAATGCACGAAAAGAATGTCCACAGAAGGTATGTAAGGTAAGTGTGTGCGAGTTTGTTTCTGCATTCAATTGGGGACCCTGAACAATAGAGGATAATAAGGTCCCCGATTGACAAGAGAGTCCCCGGTTGACAACAGTGTTCAAAACATATGGGTGGTCTTCTAAAAAAGTTGAAGTATAAACAAAAGAGGAACAATAGGGGTCCCCAGTTGCAAGCAAATACACACTTGTGTGTTCGTGGGTGTGCACAACAAATGAAGGATTAGCATATTTAGACATCAGCCGGAGGTGAGTCATGCCACACTTGGCACTTTAACCTGTCAGACTTACCTGTGTTTACAGATAGTGTTTACAGGTCCTCTGGCGCAAATTGGTCTAGCACACTCATTCGTGGTAGGTTTCACTTACGTAGTACAACATTTCACTGTGATTTTCCTGTCCAACTTCCTAATAGGCCTGTACAGAAATGGTGTTGCCGTCATGCTCGGATGGCAAGCACGACATGTTTGAGCCTTCACCATGGGTCTACAAGGAATATGTCAAAAGTTGTCAGGAAGAGTGGAACGTGACCCCCAGACCCGACTGGCCCATCATTCAGTACTGGGGCAAGAACATATCGGCAGCCAGTAACATTGTTTTCAGGTCAGTACAAATAGTGTGATGATGATAATGTGGATGGAAAAAGTGTGCATATCAACCAGTACCAGTGCCCACTGGGCCCATGTAATGCATTCCTGAAATCATCTCAGCTCACAGGGTAATGTACAGCTCAATGCTGCCATTTCAGATACAAACAGCTAATCAAACACAGCAGCCATCTCTACCCTCACAGGCACCCATATACACTCCTGGGTGGGGAGAGGTATGATGTGGGTATAGTGACTTGCCCAAGGTCACAAGATACAACCAGCTGCCAGACTCAAACACTGATTTTGTAACTGGGAGTTAACACAGAGCATGCTGATCTTTCATCCTGAAGTATATGTGTGATTGCTGGGTTTGAAGGATTTTTCAGGATTGAGGAAGGTTGAGCCAGTCTCTATTGCTCTGCACAAGGCTTGATGCCCATTTAAAGTGTAGGTCAAGGATATGAGCCATTAGCCTCCTGTGTATGTTACTCTTACGGATGAAGATGTCTTACTTGAGAACTAAATCTAATCTCTGATTTATCTATTTTGTCTGTGCTTTGATGTCAAAGACACAGTTTCGCCTACTTTAATTGAAAATTGGACTCTGTCTTCTCCCACATAATTTCCATCTTTCATTTCATATGTTTTGCCCAGTAACGGCCTTTTGGACCCCTGGTCAGGAGGTGGGGTATTGAAGTCCATCTCGGACAGCCTGGTGGCTGTCATCATTCCAGATGGGGCACACCACCTGGACCTGCGCTCCAAGAACACGGATGATCCGCCCTCCGTGACTGCAGCTCGCAACACGGAGAAGGCCAACATCAAGAAATGGATCGCAAAAGCCAACGCGGACTTGTAGATTGGAGACTTTAGATCCTGTCTGGTAGCAGGTATTGTCTTCAACATTGGATTCCACCTACGTGTTGCTATGCTCTCTGAAATAATTAAGAATGAATAATGAAGGCATCTTTGAGTACCAAAAATGTCAAATGATTTTTTTGTCTTTTTTTGACCTGTTAAGCTTATAAAAAATTTACACACCCAAGAAAGTATAAACTATCCGTGGAAATGACTGATGGCACCCAGTTTATTTTATTGTGATTTAAGAAAGGGGCATGCTTTTCTTTTGAGGAGAATTCTGTAAGTCACTTTGTACAGCCAAGCAGAGCAGTTAAAAAGAAAACTGAAACTGTCATGTGAGAAATGGAGCAAACAGCAAATATCTGGCACACCAACAAATAAAGTCATTTGACCTCCATTGAACTGAAATTTAAACAGCGGGCAAACTCACTTCAAAACAATTCAAAACAACAAAAACAGAATGCTACCTTTCTGCCTCAACATTTACATTCAATAAAGAATAGACCATTAGCAGTTTGTTCAGACAGTGAGGGCTGTTTTTATTGAGGGGCATTTTAATCGAATAGGCCTATCTTGTTTATAAAATGCAGCTTTATAAACTGGCCATTCATGTTTTTTGGGGCAGCTGTCATGACTCTCTCTAAGGGTGCACTGAACCAATTCAAGCTCCATTGAAAATAGTGTAAAATCAACCAAGTTTGAAGCCCCATGGCAGGCAACTGAAGTCCCTGAGGCCTCTGAAACAAAAAACAATGTGTTGTTTGGTCCTTCAAATTTCATTTGATTTTCAATTTTTAGTAGGTTAACCAATGAATTTTTTAATTATCCGCCCAAAACAAACTCACCCCCCAAAAATGTTACCAAGCTCTCCCAGCGGCCATTTTTCAAATGACATCCCTCACCTTCCTCGGGCTCTTCTGACTAATTTTCAATCCCATTTTGGTCTGCTTTGCCCCCAGATGGGTGCCCCTGAATCTACAGATATGATCCTGGGTCATACTGACACAATCCCACCATTTCTTGGCCCAAACAGACCCCTCTTTTCGAAACAATCTCTGGGGGTACTTTTTGTGCGCCTCGGCCTGGCGGAGAATTTTCCTTGAATTGGGACACTGCACCCCTAAGCTTCAAGGAAGCCATGTTTTTTCTCATGAAATGTCTGTTGTATTGTGGTAAACTTTTACAGCCGTATTATGGTAGCCATCTTGGAAATCAGCCCTGAGCACCCACATGGAAGGCTGAAGTCTTTCAATTTCCCATCTGTAACAAAATTTCATTGAAATATATTGAAAGTATGTTTGGCCTCTAGAGCTCATGTAAATGTAAAGTACAAGTTATTGATTTTAAAGGTACAGTCAATCATTTATAGTTATCTAAAAAGTGATGACATTGTTGAAAAGCATACTTGGATTAAAGATGATTATGGGACTAAACTCCCTATGAAATTGTTTTTGGCAAACTGTTATTTTGAAGAAAACAACGAAAGAAGGCAACTTTCAATATGTCTACAGAGGCACGTTTGGAATACGTGTATTGCCATTGAAGTGCATGCCAGTATTGACAAAACACACACGCGCGGAGAGTATCATTCGTAGGTTCAGTGCGTGACATTGCGTAGCTGCATTGGACTGAACTTGAGCATGTGCCCAGATGCTGAATTCAGGTGCAACCCTAGAGTATTGTTTTCTTGGAATATACAGTATTCACTGAGCTGTGACTTCATCAGGCTTGTTCTTTGGCACCTTTCTTTAGAGTAATTTTTTTTCCTCAAATTCACAAACGGCATTTAAATGATAGACTTTACCTATAATAAAAGTATTGAAGTGTTTGACAGATTTTGTTATATCTTTTAATTAACACTTACATGTATTTGGCACCATGTCTGGTGAGGCAAATTCATGTACATTCTATCCATAAGTTTTAGAAGATAATCTACTCAGAAACATTTTTAAAAGATAAAAAAAGGCCAAAACTTTAAAATCCACTAGTGGATGCTTTTCTACCACGCCATTTGTTGTGTGCAGCTTATTATGTTTATCTTATGCAAAATCTTTCCACTCCTTTTTGCATATTTACGAATATTAGGTTGCCATGTTTGATTTTGCTTCTGCAATCTGCTTAACATCGTAACTATAAATACTAATTTATACACGCATTTATAATCGGCGGAGACTCATATTAACTACTTTTGTGAAATGTGAAGATTAGATATTTGTCAACATGTTTCGAAGTGTTTTTGACTGTGTTGTTATAAATGGTTTTAAACCTGTTACTTTTATAGCAAAACCAAATTTTGTCCGTTTTATTGTGTGTGCATTTCGTTTATCTTCTATCAACTGTAACGTGCGTTTTTTAAATGAATGAAAACAGTAGAAATGCATGGAACAGCTGACATTGTCACAAGCATTCAATGAGAGCTTAGTGCAGCAAATTTTTTTATGAAATACTTGTTTTGGTCAGTCTTGTGCCAGCATGAAAAAAACTGCAGCTGTAGAAACCAACAAATATGGTTCCAATTTTGTCCAATAAAAAATTGAATTAGGATATTTTTACTCCTTTATAATAAAAAGGTCTGAGATGGAGAATTGATTGCTCAAGAGTGTTTCACTGCCTCAGTACTGACTAGTTCCACAGGTAGTGTGTCAGAGTCCAGGGTAAAAAAAAATTGCCACGGAATTGAGAAAAAAAATTCCACCCTTTCTTGTAACTCACTCAAAACAAAAGTTACATACACCAAATACAATCAAGTGATTGCAATTCACATCTTAGCAGCAGCTTTCCTATGTAACCTGTGTAGAGGAGGAGTTGCTGTCAACAATATCAGTGTCATTCCTATGAGTAAAAGGGGGAACTACATGTAGCAATCTTCCCAACTGAGTTCTTTAACCACGCTTTTAGTCCTCGCTGGCTAGCAATGACCAAAATCGCTCTTCTAGTTGGCCAGACTTAACTGCCTCATGTGCATCGCAGTACCCCACAGGCACATGAACTAATGGCATCACGTGTTCAGTCCGTCACCCCAACCTGGCTCCCATGGTGTCATCAATAACTGAGCCTTCCCCTAGCCTATTGGTATTCCCAATATCGATCTTCGGCTGGCTAATGATGCCCACGTACCCAACACAAGAACAACTCGGTGATGCAAACACATGGAGCAGTGCACAATGATGTCCTATTGGTTCAATCAGAGATAGCTTTATTTGGGATCTTTGCCAGTGTTCTGCACGTCAATGTATCAGCAGTCAGTAATATTTATCTACGTTGTAAATAAAAAAAATCAGTATTAAGAACTCATTTCCTGTGTAGGAAGCACTCCGCAGGTGACAGTTCAGTGTCCATCCGAGATCAAATCATACGAGGTCCTAAAAAGAACCAGAATTGATGGGTTTGCTCTATGTGAAAATACCCCATTATCAAATTAGCTTTTTCAACTGTGTACCGAGAGAGCCACTTTTTTTGGAAACGAAAGAAAGTCCAGTTTTTATCAACAACGAGAGCCTTGCGGGAGAAAGAGTTCAAGTGTCTGTATCTCTTTGCCGGATGGACCGTCCACCACCAGCAAACTTCCTCTTCTTGAACGATGTCGCTCCATTTCGCGATGACCATGAGGATGATGAGGCAAGCGACGAGACGGTTCGCTCCTTGAATTGGATTTTCTCACTGGGCTGGTGTTGGGCGGCCTGGGGCACGATGGGCTGGAAGTACGGCCTCTCTGGTTGAGGCAGCTGGAGGTCAACAGGGGGTCTGTATCGCCAAAGACATGAGAGCAAGAAGCAACTTACAGCACAGGCAGATGGTATGATTTGGACTTTCGAAAAGGGCAAGCAATAGCAGCCAACTTTTGAAATACTTCCTCATTTGAACAGTGTTTGAGCAATATTTTTACTGTAACCTATTTTTCAACACTCTAGAGCATGCCCATTGAGCGGTACTTGCTACCACAACAAGCTGTGCCCAGTGGGCAAAGTTCAAGTTCAACACAAGGTCCCCCTCCACAAACTTCACAGAATTTGTGTGCACCAAACAAATGGGGGGTTTGAAGTTTAAACACCACCTGTTAAAAAACAGGTGAGTCACAGTGCCCTTGATATTTTAATCTGTTAGCAGTGCCTACAGTTACAGACAGCTAAATCATATTCATAAATAACTCAGACAGTCTCCATATTCAACAATGTGCAACCTGACAGTGCATTAACATTTGATAACGCCCGCTGAGAAGGGATAATGCCCGCTGCATAAATCACGTGCTGACACCTGGATACGAGACAGTTTGATCAATTCTGATTGGTCAAGAGACTGTGTGCATGCAGCTTACTACGCGCGTGTCAAGTCCATATAAGGAGATTCTTTTGAACTCTCTGACTAAAAAAGTATAAATGGGAATAAATAGGTGCTTGGCCGGTTAATGTTTAAGACCGGCCCAGGAGACGGAATGCTGATAATGCCCTCACCAGCGGCTTGGGCGTGAGTCGCATCCATTCTCTCAAGCTGGTCTTAAACGCACATTAACAACTGGCCAAGCACATATTTATTCCCTTATTTACACGTCCTCCAGCATGAAGTGGTTAACATTCCTGCTTTTTCAAGAGTCTGATTTCCTAATACTCCTCTCCTACAATTTCTTATGTCCAATTCCCTCCAATCCCACTACTTAAACTCTCCAATTTCTTCATTTCTCCATTTCTTCCTGTGAAGCAAAGTTTATAAGATTCAATCCAAGCCCACGAAACTAATAATTCTTGGTCCGATTTCACATGATGGAATGTCCAATGACAACAAATGACACTGCAGAGGGAATTTACTCCTCTTTCAGAGTCTACAGCTAAGACTAGGATCCCCGTCCAGTTCCATCTTGTTCCTAACGAGACCAATCTCAAAATAACATGGGCGGCTATAACTCACGTGTCTTCCCGCACAACTGTGGTCCAACCACCGTAAGGGTTGACCATTTTTCGCTTCGCTGGTCTCGGCGCTTCCTCTTCCTTCTCGTCATCTTCTTCATCGTCACTTTCCTCCTCCTCTCCGCTTCCGTTGTCCTCTTTCTCATCCCCTCCATCGTTCTTCTCTGGTTCTTCGTCTTCGGTTCCTGGTGGTATGACTTCCTGAGACGCTTTGGTTGATTCGCTGGCAGGTTCTGGCTGTAGGAAAAATCATTTTGATAGATTTGAAGTAAACATTAACCCTAACTCCTTTGGCCTTCATCCCGGCAGTCTTCCCAAATCTTTCAAAATCCTCCACTCTGCAGGAAAGCAATGGGACATCCGTGTTTGACAAATTGCATAAATCCACCAGAACTTCCAAGTATGTTTAGAAGGATTGAAAATGGTTGGGCTAATGATGTAGGAAAATAATGTACTTTCTCCAAATGGTCTGGGTTTCCGCAATCAATCCATTTTACCCAAATTCTCTTCATCCAGTCTCCCTTAGAATCCACAAAGAGCCACAGCTCAGTATGTGCTGCCAACAGAAATTGATTAGTTTCCTCTTACTTCTACAACCGCATATTTCTCTAATCTCCTTTTTCTAGAGTCTCTGAAGGCTTGTTTAAGCTCCCTCATCACTTTTTTTTGGAAAAATTATCTTTTCAACATTTCTATACTGGACTTTCAAATAGATGAGGTTGACACGAGGCCTGCTTATGGTTTCTGTGGAAATAATATGGATGACTTGCAAGAAACAAGTTATTCCTGGGTAACTTCAGAGAATATGAACCAACAGACCACATGTTATACCTGTTCTTGTTCTGCAGTCTCACCGGTCCGGTCCTCGTGTACCTGCTGCTTGTACATAGTCGACTCTTCTGTGGGTTCATAGCCCTCTGGTTTCTCCCACTGCGACTCTGCAGTTTGAATTTAAAACAAACCAGATGTTTGGGACCTGCTAAACCAGATTTGAGCCATCTGGCCTGCCTTGTCAAGCTTGGTGGTCGAATGATTAGAACATCAACACCATTGAGCAGGATGGTGTGGTGGCTGATTTGTGCACCGGTCCGTTAAGGAAATTCTTTTTCACAGACTCACAGGGTCTTAGCGAGTCCTCGGATATGCAATGCTCTTGACATTATGCCCGAGAATTTCAAAATTCTCTATGAAAAAGGATTCACATTCGAACAGATAGGTATGTGCCAAGCTCACAGGGATGAAGTAGGGGTTACTGTGAGTGCTGCAGCAACCCAAATTTTTGGTTGGGATCACTGGAATTAAGTATCGTTGTGAGTAGTGTGCATGGGTGTGCCCCAGCAACACAATCTCCTGGCAAAGGTTTTCCAGCAGGCTTGGCACATCCGTATGAAATAGCCACGTGCAACTTTTATCTGCCATTTTGTAACTTGAAATCACGCACAGCTATGCGCATCTACTTTGAAAAGTCTCGTGAGCCACAGTAGTCATCCAAACTGTCAGCTTCAACTAAAATTCTCAAGTCCCATGTTTGATGTACATGTAACAGTGTAACTGTGAAACTGTGACCCTTCAAGCCAAACACAACATTGACAGGTTGTGGTGCAGTGAGGCAAGGCATACAACGTACGTGCATATTACTACACGCTGCTAAAAACGGTGCAGTGCTCTGCACCTTTGTGATAAGATACGGCAAAGCAGTGCTTATATGAGGAATCGGCAGTCAATAGTGCTTCTCAAGGGCTAGACGTGTGGTTCCTCTATTCCATTGAAATGGTACAACATAACATGCCTCCTGTCACTGTATTCCAGTAGTACGTATGCCCCTCTGGACTGGTTCCCTCCAGCCAAACACACTGTGGTGTTCCATCTGTGTGGTACCCAACATCAGCTACAGCGGTTTCAACAGTGTGGCTTGAAGTATCGCTCGCCGGTGCAGAGCTCGGCGCACTGCTCGCTGAGCCCCTGGATGTGGTCTTCCCTGCTTGTTTAGTGGCAGCCAACCCTTCTTTATGCAAACGCCTTGCCGCAGTGAGAAGCTCTGTTGGGAGAGTAAGGCCGGCAATTTTACAATGGAGACTGACAAGCCCAAACTATGTTATTTTTATCACAACATGTTCGAGTTTCTAATAAGACATTTGTACAATAAAACCAGACAGGTGTGTTTTTCTGCAGACAGAAGATCATAGACATTTTTTTCTTTTATTTATTTCAACAACAGTTGGTTATGTCAATGAGTTAAATTTGATCAAATCAAGTCCGAAGTCATTTTCTTTCAAGTCAAGTCATCAAGTCGTAAAATTATGACAGGAGTCTTTCTTGAGTCTGCAATTCAAGTCCACAAATCTGCCATCTACCTTCTTTCTTTTTGGCTGCAGCAGCAGCGCTGGCAGCAGCTGCAGTGGCCTGGGCCTTGTACTGCGCAGCCAGGGCGGGATCATTGGCCAAGTCCTTCTTGAAGGCCTTGAGTGCTTCCTGAGAAAAAAAGAAGAAAATACCTGTACATCCAGAGCTGAAGGATGTACAATTTAACAAGAACAGGCCAGCTCACTTGCTATCCACCAAAATTCTGCACACAACAAAGATCACATTCTCAGATGCTACTTTGGCAGAGCCTGGAATTAGCTGTATCATTTTGACATAGGAGTACCCATTTAAACATAGCTTTAGTGTTGAGTTCCCGTCATTTGCTTGGTGGTGGGTCACCCTGCTTAAGCCCAAGCTTCCCCTGCTATTACACGTAAGGCCCCTGGTCAAGCCCCAATTTATTTAATGCGCTGCAGACCAGCAGTGAAGCTCACATGTGTCTCTCCCATCTTCTCTGTGATGCACCTTTGCTGCATGTCAGTATTCTCTCATAAAGTAATCCATCATACACACTGTGTTGGTTTTTAGGTGTTGGTTTTTCTGTCCCTGGTTTGCATCCTTTTGGATGGGTTCTCAATTGTTTTAAGGTTCAGGTTAAGAGGCTGATTGTCACCTTGTTATGTCTGTAAATAAAATACCTCATGGTCCTGTCCTGTTTAGAAATCTAGAATTAGTGTCTGAGGCACTGTTGATTCAACTTCTTGTGACTTGTCCTCTACACATCCCTAGCTTTAGTATCAGTTGTGTAGTAGTGCACGTTCTCCCATAGTGTGTCAGTTTCCCAGATTATGCTACCAAGGCACCTCTCCTCACCGTCTCCATCTTGAGGAGGTCACTCTCCAGCGTCTGCTGCATCTTGTACTGCTCGTGGCCCTTCTTCCGTAACTCAGCCAGCTTCTTCTCCACATTTTCCTTGTGTCGTTTTCCCCGCTCATGGAAATCAATACTCTGTGGTCAAGCCACAGGTTTCCAAACAAATAGAAAAATTGTGTAAACTGATTTATAAAATGCCATAGGTTGGCTAGAGCGTTTCAGGAGAACACCATTACTGTCACACTTGTCATGAATTTTATTTGCCTTATCAAAAATTTGTTACATTTCAAACTTGATTTGGAAAGAATTCCACATACGAAAAGCGCTATTTTTTTCTTATAGTTAGCTAATAGCCATCTGAAAGCAATAACATGACCTAAAAAGTCAAATTTTGCAGGGGAATATTGAGGTATTCACATAGAAAACACTTAGAATTTTCAGACCAGCCTCATCGGGCTTGTGCACAGGGTGTCAAGTGGCACTCATGTGCAACTCTTTCCCTTGATTTAGAAGGAAAATACACGTAAGTCCTTGTATTTCATTTCGTTTTTTTTTTGGCTTGTCTGGAACTTTTACCTCTTTACTTTTAAACTTGGCAGTCAAAAATATGACTTATTCATGCATCCAAAGGGGAAATAAAGGGAAAAAAGAAAGCAGCTTTGTCATACAGCTTTATTGTCAGCTATCCAACACTGGCAGAAATCACAATGCTTCTTTGGTTGAGACTTCCAGTAAGTAGCCCTGCATGAATGACCAACAAGGTAAAGTAGGTCACACTGAATGTTGTGAATTGTTCTTACACTCTAAATACTGTTAATAAGTAAACTTTCAACAATGGCAAAGAGACAGTTGAGGTTACACATGTGTCACTCTTGGGCAGACATGCACATATATTTACCGCTTAAGTTGACAAATTAGTAAACTGAATAATTCAGCAACTAAACTAAAAAAAAAAAAATTGCATCAATTACCGATTATTGAAATGGCAAAAAACATTGTTGGGTTTTTTGTAGTCCGGGAATTAGACAGCGATAAACAGCCCTTAGATCTCCTGAGCATGATGATCTCAAAGAACGTTCAACAACATGGACCACTCACATGTACATGTACTCCTTGGGATTGTGTGTTAAATCACTGTGTTTGACTCCATGCAAAAGCCCAACAGCTGTTTCATTGACATACTGCATAATCATGCATATATCACACATGTCTAGTTGCCTGACACAAAGTTAATGATAAAACAGCCACTGAGATCTCCAGTTATTACTGTCTGGCTCCCAGACGGCTGTTCCATGTCAAGAAATATGTAATACACCGACTGAGCGATAAGACACTACATGTACCAATGGGCTCTTCCAAAACTTTCGCAGCAGTTTAGATGTGTTGACATGGAAGAGCACGATGAGGGATCAAGTGGTGTACCGTTCAACGACCTTATTTAAAGATGGCGACTGTGAAAGCGAGCCCATTAGATTGAATGGATAAAGGCAAAAAGACTGGAAAATACCTGAATAACGTGAGTGCAATCATTCAATAAATTGTTTTTAGAAAG